CAGCTTCCCGGGAGGGGTGGGGTCTCCCCTACAGCCACAGTACATCACCCCTCCCCCAGCAGAGTTCAGATCCCAGATCCCGTGACGTTTCTTGCTCACTTTTTTGTTTAACATCTTTATTGGAGTATAATTGCTTTACAATGGTGTGTTAGTTTCTGCTTTATAACAAAGTGAATCAGTTATACATATACATATGTCCCCATATCTCTTCCCTCTTGCATCTCCCTCCCTCCCACCCCACCCCCCATCTTGCTAACTCTTGAGGCCCACATTGTCACAGAGACGTATGTGGTTTATTCTGAATCAGAAGCCTCTCTCCCTTCCAGCCCCCCACAGCCCTCTTTCCCTGGATCGATGGGATTAGAAACGGCTGATTTAATTAGTCCAGATGCAGCTTCACTTTATTACTTTCTCATTTACAGTGAAATAATGGGGAGCAAGCAAAAGGAATTTGTCATTATCTAAGGAACCGACGGGGCTGCTAAGGATGCCAATTTCTCGACTGAGCTGCAGCCCCTAGCTCAGGGCAGACCAAGGAAGTCACTGCCTTTCCAGGAAAATCAGGATTTGTGACAGTCTGTGGAGTCCCAGGACCTCAGTGTTTCTAATAATCACCCAAGGGACCTGAGCGGGAAATCTGCTTCTGCCGCTTTCTGTGTGACGATGGACAGGTCGCTGACCTCGCTGACTGAACCTCCAACGCATCTCTGCATTTGAATCACCTCTGGAGAATTTCTACATCAGGATCCCAGTGATGGTGATTCTTTGGGTCTGTGGGGGGCCCAGAAATCCGCCTCCTTAGACGAAGTTCAGGTGATTCTGATGCACGCTGACACTGAGAGCTCCTCAACTGTCCATATACAGCCTTTGGTCCCAATGGACCACCCTGACCTCATTGCTTATACTCACCCTCACATACATCATAGGTGTTGGCTGCAGAGAAATTCTCACCAGTGTCCAAAGGCCCCATCTCTCCCCACTTCCACCAACACATGCTGTCCCCCCTGCCGAGGGTTTCCTTTTCCTCCTCCACCATCACTTCTTTCTCCAAATGGCAAACTCTTCCTCCCTATAAAAGCCCCAAGCAAGTATTACCACCTCCATAAAGCTCACCCTGATTCTCAGAGACAGACCCTCTCACACTGTCCCCTGTGCACACAGAGCATTTTGTACAGCTCTTCGTAAGAGTACACATTGAATTACATATACTTTCTTCAAGTCTTCACCCAAAACAGATCATGAGATCATTGGAATTATATTCTGTTCATTCCAGTATCCCCAGAACCCAGAAAAGTGTCTGACACCCAGTGGGTATTCAAAACGTGTATGGCTGAGGAGCGAATCAATCAATCAGTCAATCAATCAATTCATTGTGAGCCAATCTTATTGTCTATGAAGCCCCAGCTCTCAGCTTAGGAATGATAAAATGTATAGTTGTCTAAGTGATGTGATTTCAGAGAGATCAATAACTCACTCGATGCCCCAAAATAGCTTCCCTCAAATCCTGTTATGGTGCATGAAATTCTCACCATTAGTTTATACTCATTTAATTCAACAAATATTGATTTTGACAAGAACTGTACGAGATCAACTTGAAATTGTAGTTGGACCCTGTCTAGCATCATCTGAGAGAAGCACTGGAGAGCTACTCTTCATACGGAGGCAAATACTTAACCGTGGAAGGTTTTCAGGAAGAGTTTCTGGCTCTTGGAGAATTGGTGGCCCTACTTTCTGAAAGAAGGGACAGCATGGGAGGAGGAACAGATGAAGTGGGTAGAAGGCGATAAGGAGTTCACTTAGGGGCATCACTTGGGGAATCTATGGTACGTTCTCGGAGAAGGTGGCTGGTAGGTGGTAAGATACAAGCCTCTGCAGCTCAGAGGAAAAGTGTCCTGGGATTTTATGATTGAGGGAGTCACCCAAGCATAGGCAGGTCCAGAGCATGCGATGGAGTAGATGACATAACACAAGGAAAGGCTGCAGCATAAGAAGGAAAGACAGCCAAGGACCAAATATAGGGAAGATCTCATAGTGGAGAGAACTTCAGGCACCTGACATCTGGCTAAGCTCTTAAGTATAATATCATCACCTTGCTCAATTATCATTTACTGAATGAATGAATAAATAAAGTGAATGGATGAATTCTGTGCTGTAAATACTATCATTATTTCCATTTTCTTTTTATTTATTTATTTTTATCTATTTTTTTAATGGAAGTATAGTTGATTTACAATGTTGTGTAAGTTTCAGGTGTACAGCAAAGTGATTCAGTTATATATATATCTATTCTTTTTCAGACTCTTTTCCCATATAGATTATTACGGAATATTGAGTATAGGTCCCTTCCCTGTACAGTAGGTTCTTGTTATTATTTCCATTTTCTTGGCAGGGCAACTAGAGCTTAGGGAGCAAAATGACTTAACAGAGATTATACAATAGAGGCAGAGCAGAAATTCAAACTTAGTTTTGTCTGACTTATTCCTTTCTTCTTTACTGCCTTCCTTTGTGTTAAATAGATATTTTGTAACCTAATTCTCCTTAAAATCCAGCTCAGGATCACCTCCACATGGAAGCCTTCCCTGACCCTGTCTTTAATCTAGCCCATGACCAAATTGGAAGACTTTTCCTGGGTTCCCACTGCCAAAGCAGAAACAACTCCAGACTACCAGCTACTCAAGGGCAGCAATCATTCCTCGGCTGTCACTACATCCTCATGTGGAGCTTAGCACATAAAGGACTTCAATTAATGTTTATTTAGGGGTAAAGATTGTAAGTAAATAGACAATTACAATTTTGTGTGCTTAGTGCTAAGATGAAAAAAGCACAAGGTACTGAAGGACCCCGGGGAAAATGGTCCCAACTCAGACTCGGAGTCAGGGCAGCCTACCTAGGGCACAACAGATGAATAGGAGTTAGTCTATCAGGAAAGAGGGGATAATATACTAGGAAGATGGGTCTAATATAATGTTTCCCAAAATAGGGAGTATGTGCCACAGAGGAGACAATTTTAGGTAGTGTGGGGAGAATCTTTCTTTTTTTATTTCAATAGTTATACATTTATTTTCCTGTGCATTAGAAAAAGAAATATGCATACACACATACACATGTGTTCAGTACATTAAACCCATGCTTTCGCACCTATAGTAGTTAAGGTAAAACCTACTTTTTAAGTAACAGTTAATCTTTAAAATAAATATTAACAAAATAACGGTACAGGTGGTACCGGACTATGGCAAAACTGTGAAGGTGATACTTGAGTACCTGGAGCTTTGGAAACACTGAGCAAAGGCAGGGAGGTGTGAAACAGCACGGAGCAGGTAAGCGCTACAGGCAATTTACACAGATGAAATCGTAAACTAGATGGGGGAGTGCTGTGCGGACAGTTCTGGGTGCATTGGAAGGGACCACATCATGCAAGCCTTCAAACACTTGCCAAATAGCTTGGGATTTCTCCTGACAGCAGAGCAACAGGGAGAGGACAGAGTCAAGGAAGTTGCCAGGATTTTTGTTTAAGCAAAAGGGACACTCAGTCCCACACTTCAAGAGTCTTGAGAAACGCCTGCCAGCTCAAACAATCAGAGATGCAAGCCAAGATAAACCTACAGTGATATTCATTGTAGCATCATCTACGATGGCAAAAAACTACAAACAAGCTAAATGTGGGACAAAAGATTGAGTACAAAGCAGCAGATCCATGCATGAGGAGTGCAGCCATCAAAGTCGTTTTCAAAAATATACAATAACGTGGGAGAAATGTTCACACATAAAGTTAAGTGAAAGATCTAGATACAAGTCTGTATATTCGGCAGGATATATACATACATATTCATTACAGGAAAAAACCTGGAAGGATATACACACACAAATACACACATATATATTATAAATATAACAGCGTTTACAACTGATGATATGCTTATAATTTTTTTAAACTTTCAGATTCTCTAAAATTTCTACCACAAATAGTATTTCATTTATTTATTTTTCTTTCATTTCTTTGATTTATTTTTATTCAGAGGGAAAAAAAAGCTGTTTTTAAGAAAAAGACATTTTCACCAAGGTGGTGCCGAAAGAAAGCCCTTGATCTCCAAAACGGAGCCCAAAGCAAAGCTCCGAAGGGCAAGAAAGCAGTGATAAAAGGCGTCCACTCAAAAAAAAAAAAAAAAGACCCACATGTCACCCACATTCCATCAGATAAAGACCCGGCAGCTCTCAAGGAAGCCCAAGTTTAAAAAAGCCCCTCCGAGAAAACCGTAAGTCAAAAAGAGTCATGTACCAAAATGTTCATTGCAGCTCTATTTACAATAGCCAGGTCATGGAAGCAACCTAAGTGTCCATCAACAGATGAATGGATAAAGAAGATGTGGCACATATATACAATGGAATATCACTCAGCCATAAAAAGAAACGAAATTGAGTTATTTGTAGTGAGGTGGATGGACCTAAAGTCTGTCACACAGAGTGAAGTAAGTCAGAAAGAGAAAAACAAATACAGTATGCTAACATATATATATGGAATCTAAGGAAAAAAAAAAAAAGGTCATGAAGAACCTAGGGGTAAGATGGGAATAAAGACACAGACCTACTAGAGCATGGACTTGAGGATATGGGGAGGGGGAAGGGTAAGCTGTGACAAAGTGAGAGAGTGGCATGGGCATATATACACTACCACACGTAAAATAGATAGCTAGTGGGAAGTAGCTGCACAGCACAGGGAGATCAGCTTGGTGCTTTGTGACCACCTAGAGGGGTGGGATAGGGGTGGTGGGATAGGTAGGGTGGGAGGGAGGGAGACGCAAGAGGGAGGAGATATGGGGACATATGTATATGTATAACTGATTCACTTTGTTATACAGCAGAAACTAACACACCATTGTAAAGCAATTATACTCCAATAAAGATGTTTAAAAAAAAAGGAGGGGAAAATGGATACTACTTAACAAAAATCTCTAAGGACAAATACAAAACTAATGTAGGGCTGATATTCAGCTGGTTCTTACCGTAACAGCCAGGCACGTTGTCTGTTCTGTTCAGTTGTTCAGTCTGTTGGTAAATATTTCGAATATGACTCCTGAAAATAATCAAACAGATTCATTGCTGTAGTGGATAGAAAATGGATGGATGGGGTTCAAAGGTACTATGTAGACTTTTTATAAATCTTGATATTTAATCACTGTGTTCCTCTTCAAAATAAATTAAACAAATACGTTTTTAAACAAAAATAAATAAATAAATAAAATTTTTTAAAAATTAAAAAGCCCCTCCGAGAGGAACAAACTCAACCATTATTCTATCATCAAACTCCCCTGACGACGGAGTCAGCCACGAACAAAATCAAAGACAACTACATGCTCACGTCCACTGCAGACATCCAGGCCAACAAACACCAGCCCAAACAAGCTGTGATAAAGCTCAATGACCTTGACAAGCCAGGGTCAACCTCTTGATTGGGTCTGATGGAGCGAAGAGGAGGACATTCGATTGGCCCTGGATGCTTGGGGTGTTATCACCAAAACTGAGATCATCTAACCTGGCTTTGTCATCTCCAAAGACAAAGAAGAAAAAGGAAGTCACAGAGGACTATTCGCTGTTGCCCCTGTAATAATCTCCCCAGGAAAACGAAAAAAGAACGGATCTTGTCACTAATTTTAAAAATCAGAGGATGTGTTCAAATTCCCTTTTATAGTCACTACCCTTTTGTCTCCTGCCGGCTGAGTGCTGATACAAGGCACTGGGCTTTTGTTCCTGTAATACTGAGCTTGTCTTCATCAATAACGGTGTGCCAGAACCGTTTTCTGAATCAAAACTGGGGCCATGGAAGAGGAGGATTTCTGATTAGGCCCTAGTGTTTGTCCTGTACAAATGAACTTTCCAAGTGGGACAGAGAGAGAGAAAATGAGAATACGGTAGAAGGGAAAAAACTATCTTCTTTATACTCCAGCTAATTATTTTAATCATCTGGTCCTACTTAAGTAATGAACTAAAGTGGAGTTAAGGCTTTTGTATTTGTACTTTTTTAATGTTGTCCGTTTCCTCTTCATTCATTACTTGAATCGTAGAATCTCAGGGTTGTGAGAGGCCCACAAGCTCATCTAGCTCAATCCTTTCATTTTGCAGAAGGGAAACCAAGGCTCAGTGCTGGACTGATTCAGAATTTAGTAAAGGCAATAGTACAAAGACAAGAATGGGGAGGAACAGCCGGGATGTAGTGAAAACTATGATACAGTTTGAAATAAAGCAGAATTCCAATATTCCTTAGCCATGTAACCTTCATAAATTTCTTACTGCCACTGAGACTGAACTCTACAAATATAAATGGGGATAATATCACCCACTGAGTGAAGGTCTGGAAAATAATGGGCCGGGGCTGGGTGTACAGTTGGGTCTCGATATTGGCCACATGCCGTACAACGCATGTGACACACACATGTCATACGTCATTGCACGTTGAACGTGAGGTCAGGAGTGGTAATTATCATCCCCTTGTTACAGACTAAGAAGCCAAGTTTACACAGCTAGAAAGTGGCGGAGTCGGTATTCACACACAATCACAAAATCAGGAACAGGAGCTGTTAAATGCTATTATACCCTGTGCGCCTCAGTAAGTCCTACTTCTTTATACTGATTTTAAATCAGTAGTGAAAGCACTACGAAAACTGCCAAGTGCTGAGAATTTAAGGAATGACCATTTTTTTCAAAATATCCAAAGTGGTGGGGGTCCTTCTCAGAGTCAAAATCGATCTGAATCAGCAGTTTCATCTCTAGAATGCTCTGCTAAGTGATAACTCAGGCTCATTTCAAGTGGTTTCTCAAGGTCATTTGATTATAGTTCCGAACATACAGATCATCTGATTGCCTTGGCATAAGTACACGCAGGACCGACAAGGTCCCGGGTATGAAGTAGAAAAATGTAAATCCTAGAGACAGCTGCAGCATTAGCAGTCTGGAACCCCGCAGTCCTACTGCTGACTCCACCACTTACAGCCCTCGTGACCAAGGACATGCTCATCAACCGTGCTGAAGCTCAGTTTCTGCATCCATAAAATGAGGACTGATACTCAAAAAAGGCAACATAGTATTGTCCCATGTGTCTTAGCCAGATGCTGACAAATTTAAATTGGAAGTTCAAGATTCTCTGGTCCAGGGGTCACAAACTCAAATGCCTATAGGCGCTGGGCAGATAATAAAATGAGTGAAACAAACTTAGTGTTAGACAATAGGGAGTGGTGGGGATTGTGGTGAACTAAGGATGCTCACTGAGAGAACTGCTGAATTCCAGCTTTGCACGGAAATAGGGGCTGAGGAATTCTAGATTTCTCCCATTATCAATGGAAGGCAGAAATTTCTTTTTTTTTTTTTTACATTTTTATTGAAGTATAGATGATTAACAAGGTTGTGTTAGTTTTAGGTGCAGCAAAGTGAATCAGTTATACATATACATGTATTCATTCTTTTTTAGACTCTTTTCCCATATAGGCCACTAGAGTATTAAGTAGGGTTCCCTGTGCTATACAGTAGGTCCTTATCAGTTATCTATTTTATAGATAGTACTGTGTATATGTCAATCCCAATCTTCCAGTTTATCCCTCCCCCTCCCCCCCACCGTTAACCATAAGATTGTTTTCTACATCTGTAACTCTATTTCTGTTTTGTAAATAAGTTCATTTGTGCCATTTTTTTAGATTCCGCATCTAAGCAATATCATACAATATTTGTCCTTCTCTGTCTGACTTACTCAGTATGACAATCTCTAGGCCCATCCATGTTGCTGCAAATGGCATTATTTCATTCCTTTTTATGGCTGAGTAATATTCCATCATATATACGTACCACAACACCTTTATCCATTCCTCTGTCGATGGACACTTAGGTTGCTTCCATGTCCTGGCTATTGTAAATAGTGCTGCAATGAACACTGGGGTGTATGTATAAAAGCTATTCTGAGTTTTAAATGCTGATAATTAAAGTATTTTAGGGACCATATAGGCCAAACAGACATTTGTGAGGGCTAGATTTGTCCCTTGGGCCGATGGTTCATGACCTTTGAGTCTAACCCATCTCCCTCCCAACCCAGCCAAGGACACTGAGATTCTGTGAGGTGAAGAGTGGCCTGTCACCACCAGGACCAGAATCCACATGTCCTGTCACCCAGTTCTGGGCTTTTCCATAGCAGAGCTGCTTCTTTGATTCTCTGGAGTGGACTGGAAAAGGGAGATTACAAATTCAACATAGCAGCAAGAAAACTCAGATGCCCCACCCTCCTCCCTGGACAGGTCATTTGGTCAGAGTACAAGGCAGAAAAGAGATGATTTGCTTCTCGGTCTTCTGACTGTGAGGTAAGCAGTGGGAGGAAAGAAACACTGGACTCATGTCAAGGTTCAGAGAGATTTCATTCTCTTTCAGACACTGATGTATCTGCATATTCATAAAGTCTCAATCATTATTCTAATAATGCCCACCATTGCTGCTCTATTTTCTCAGGTGTTACCTCTTATCTGCTGAGCAAAGAATACCCCCAAAGGGCCGTACTTCTTCCTCCCCCAGAAAGATAGGCTGTTGCCAAGAGAACCAGCTTCAAAAGTCAGAACCATGGAGAACAGAAGGCATCAGGTTACACAGAAACAATTATGCCCAAGACCCTAATTGGATTATTAGCAGCCCCAAATTCAGCTTTAAGCAATTATCTACTCCACGCCTATGAAAAAATAAAGCACAAGTCATTTCTTGACTGTCCTTCCTAGCGAAGGAGAGGAAAAGATTCTTCTTGCAATGTGTGGAAGAGTTTCTACTAATGAGGCAGAAAACAATTCTTGGAAGAAAAAAATTGCATATATCCACACAACCCATTGGTGACTCTTCTTCCATTATTAAAAGGTTTTTTAAAAAATTGAAGAAAGCAAGTAATTTAAATCTCTATTCATAGCCCAGTTATATTTCTGTATCAAGGTCTGCAAAAGATTAGATAATCCTTTTCAAATTTCCCAGATGACTTCTTATCTCCTGTGAATCACCAGAGCTTCAGTTCAAGACAGCATGGAAGGATTTCAGACCACCCATATGTCAGTCCCTGTGCTGGCTCCAGAGGTGAGGAGGACTGATTGGTAAGACCTCAAGGAGCTGAGTCTCCTGAGCTCAGAGCTTAGGGGTGAAGAAGCTGACACCAAACCAGCTCATCACAGGACAATGCAACACATGTGAGTCTGAATGTCTACACCAAGTTCTGTGGAAACAGAGGATCAAACAACTAGCAGTATCTGGGAAAGTCAAGGGAGGCTGCATGGAAGAGGTGACATTTATGGTCATTGAAGGATGAGTAGGAGTTTGCCAAACAGACAAGGTAGTAGATTGTCATCATGAGCAGAGAAGACAAGTAATATATGGTCACAGGTGTGAAAATCCTTCAGGAGACCCTGTGCAGTTGGTGATGGGGTCCTCTGGTGCACAGGGTGGAGTGCAGCACCTGTGATTTTCTGCAAAGTGTTTTCACCTCATTATTTTATTTTATCCTTAAAATAGCCCAGAGCCCATGAGGCCAGGACTTGTAAAGAGCCAGGCTCTGGGGTGAATACTTGGCATTTATCATTTAATTTAATCTTCCCACCAGGGCTTTGCAGGGGATATACTTCCTATCCCCATTTTGCAGACCAGATTCCAAGGCAGCAGGCCATTAGTTACCTGTCCCAGGTCAAAGCAGGAGAGATGGGATTCAGACCCAGGCACTGTGGCTCCAAGTGCCACACTCTTCACCATGCACCTGCCGCCCATGTGATTCAGGTGGTTAATAACTAACCACAAAAGGCACAGAGAATACAAGGCAGGGTCCGAACTGTGGGGCTGGATCTTCATCTCCAGCATTCCGGCTCTCTCTACTCCTCGTGTGGCCCAAGGTGATCAGTTTCCAGCAAACCCACACAGCCTACAGTCTCTATGGAGAACAAGAGTTTGGGCAAATAGGCACCAGATACCACCGGTGGCTGTGACATTTCAAATCACTGGCTTTTCTTCCTTCCCTGCACACAGGTCTGGGGATTACATATCAACCAGCACAGCAGTTCTGCTGGAAATTCTCCT